TTACTGTAATTTGACTGTTTTATTTCTCATTTATTATGTAGGTTATACTGTATATTGCTCTTATAACCGAGTGTACAGTAGAGTGTTTGAAGTGGAATTAGGACGTACAGTAGAGCAATAAACAACTGTTGTCGGCTAGGCAGAGAATTATCTGCTAATACAGAACCATTGCTATCACAATGGTTCTGGTTCTGGTTCTAATACAGAACCATTGTTTGGTTCTGGTTCTAATACACAGAACCATTGTTATCACAATGGTTCTGGTTCTAATACAGAACCATTGTTATCACAATGGTTCTGTATTAGCAGTTCACTAGAGTCTTGACTGTAAAGTTGTGTGAGCTATGAATGGATCAGCCATACTTTTCAGTGGAAACCTAATTAAAATGTCTAACCGGAAGTGAGGCCCTTTACTATGACAACTGTGCAGTGACTGGAGTTTTTGTCCGTCTAGATGCAGGGCTACTGCAGCAATCATTTCCTGTCAGAATTTGTCTAGTCAGCAACTAGACTGTTTAATTTCCCACCTACTGTGTACCTACAGTATTCTTGGGTGACAAACCTCAGCGACAAGCCTGAGATAAGGTAAAATACTCATGCTTCTGCCTGTTAAGCTCTGTAGCTGCCCACATAACTATGACAGTTACTCATTTTGGATAGTAAACCTTGAGTTAATGTTACGAATGAATGTGGTTGTTAGCATCAGAGGCCTTTTACTTGGTCCTTGTCTATGTTTACTGACCCACCAAATTACATTAATATATTCTTGTTGTTAACACAATAAAAAAACTAAATTATTATATGTGATTAATAATGTTTGATTTCAAGTAATATGCTGAAAGTTCACACAAAATAAAATGCCATTTCTATGTTTACCTTGTGCAAAACGGATGCAGAATCACCAAGCAATTTTGAAAATCAGCCAGGTAAGACCACAAACCCTGGCACAGAGGCCATAGTTAATGAACCAGAATGAATAGAATGTTTTGCCACGCTTTACCTTTGTTGAAGTCCAAGTCATTGTTGTTAGCTTCCTAGTCCCGTTCGGATGGATGTACATCACAGAAACTGTCAGTAAATGGTTGCACGTTAAACTTTAATGGAGATGGATAAACAAACTGGAAGCCAAACCCGCCACGTCGTCGCAACATTAAACTTTAATGGAGATGGATAAACAAACCGGAAGCAAAACCAGCCACGTCGTCGCAACAGTCTTTTCTCTTGTAAAAGAAGGCCATAATGTTTGAAAACACTTCTAATAAAGTACAAATCTCACTTAATTTGGCTTGTCCTAGTGGGTTTTGTTGTCTTTTTCTCCTCGTTCTGCAATTTGCTAAATAGATATGACCTTAATGTACATCCATGCATTGGGGAGTGTCACTGTTGAAGTGACAAACCTCAGCTTCCCTGACCACAGGGGAAAGCACTGAGCAAATTGCGGCTTGGCACACCAAAATGAGGAGAAGGACACGAAAAACTACAGGAGCTGGGGCTGCCTTGTATTGTAATGCACACTGGCTGACAAAAAAATAAAATATAAGTAAAAACAAAGGCTCGACTAGGAGAGTCTCAGTCGACTGACAGGTATCGTGACTAATGACTCGACTACTGGGGCATCCCTAATAAAATCGGGCATGAGGACTTCCGTTGACTGTTGGTTGCTTTTCTGTCATACAGGCTAGGTGTTGCAGAGTTTTGCAGTAGGCATTTAGTTTGTGGTATTTTTGTGTACTTTAAAATATATTTGCATTGCTTTATTAGTAAATTCCTCATTTTCAACAAAAAGACAGTTTCACTTCCACACTGAAAGCATCTGGTTTTCTTAGTTTCACTTTGTAATTTTAAGACCACTATCAGAGCTCACAGTAGTTGTGAGGTGGCATAAAATCTGATTGATTATAGAAAACGCAACAGAGAGGAAGGTTTTCCAGGGAAGGTTATTGTTAAATAACCTTTATATTTTTGTGATATTTTGTTTGTGTAAGTAAAAGGACACCGTATAGACTCTCCTGTGTACATTCAGCAGTCTTAGCTAAATTACAAATCTATTATGCAGATGGATTTGACCCTTTGGAGTTATGTGTGATGTTATATGTTTATTTTAAAAACAGTTGTCATACAACCTTTATATTCAACAACTACATTCTGTAATACAGTGGCTATGGAAAACCTGCAGTAGCACTCTGTCTCCTAAATTATGATCATGATTCTGCATCTTTTCCAAATGGTTTTGAATGTCTGTTGTGTAGTTAAGCTGTGATTCTGGTGGGTCATTGTTTTTCACTCTTTTGATTATAATGGTGAAAATTCTTCTATGCTTGATATCCTTGAAACTCACCCAACAAAAGCCATCGTACTTTAAGATACTTGTATTTGTTGGTCAGTTCTTCTCTTTCCTGCTGTCTTCTTGATTCTATCCATTGCTGCAATTATTTTTCTTCATGATCTCTCTCCTTAGCCCTTCAGTTTGTCTCAGGAAAGTCATTTATTGGCCCCATGGGTATTTGGGATATAGATACTACATGATTTAAATCACGAGTTGGTTTCCTTTAACTGTGTTTGCACATACAAACCACTGTTCATCATGTAGAGGTATGTATTTCTGAAATCATGATTAATATGCCTAGTTCATCGTAGGCATTATAGACTGCCTGTTGTATCATCCAACCCCTTAGAACTTGGTTAGGCTGTCATTTTTTTCATTTGTTCCTGTATGATCAACCAAGAACAACATGTGCCGACTCAGTTTTGCCATCCCTGAGCTTCTACATACGCATGTCCCTGTTCAGTGTGTGTTTATGTGCTGACTTTTCCATATTTCCAATTCAGAGGTTTCTTAGGGAGAGGGCTACTTAAGGCTGGGTTTTTTTTTCCCCCTACTGGAGGCTCTGGAACTTATTACAGTCTGAGGCATTTTCATAAACGGGCCATTCAGCTTCCCCTGCATGGGTCTGAATGGGATACACTGTCGCCAGGAGAAAGACAGTTAATGTAGGCTAGTAAGTCGAGAGACCTCCCCATTATGAAAGACTGGTGTTCTGAAATGTGTAGTTATTCATACTACTATTTGGTATTATGATACTGTGTATTTAGGGGATCACGTTGGAAATAAATGTTTTTACTTTAACTTGTTATCCTATGGATTTTACTGTGAGTGTGATCTATTAACATAACATGTACATCCATGTTTTTCCTACTTCATTACAATAAAAAAAAAAATAACACAATCTAAATTCAGTCTTTACATTGACTAGGTAACAGTATAACTTTAAAGCCAGTGGAGCTGGTTTTTCATACTACGTGTAGAAGGATGGCAAAACATGACTCCCTCTGACGATAGAAAAAGGAGTTATGCTGACTGTGCAGACCCCACCTGGAATAATGTAGAGCCGAGCAGCCACCCAGATAATTGGCACAGACTTCATGGGTGTTAGGGAAATGTTTCTTTCAGTGAAAAGTACATTACAAATGACATATGTGATTAATATTTTTTTTTTTAATTGCTTTGGGGTGTTGTCTTAGGATGCATCAGTGACTTATAAAGAACCTTGAACACAATTAGAAATTTTGCCATTTAAAGTTTTTATTCATTCTCCACAGAGTACTGGAATTAAAATTGACTCTTGTGTAAGAATTGCCAGGTCCAGCTAGGTCAGGTTTTGTCAGAAGCTTACTCCCACAGGTGCCAGTATGCACTCCTTTCAAGTGAGGATAACACCTTGTAGTCCTTTAATTTAAAATGTGTACTTTTTGTGTATATAAATTTCACTCTGAGCTGCTTTTTGAGTCTTTAAGACTAAAACTCAGACTTTAAGATGAGGAGAAACACCTACTGTGAATACTAACTAATTAGGAATCATCTGTCAAACTCTAAGTAAATTAACAATTCTATGACTTTCTGGAAAATACTGCCTTTTACAATATGGAGCTGAATGTATCCCTGAATTATTTCATCACTGCTTCATGTTACAGGGCAGACTGCCTTGAAGGAAGTGGGTCATAAATGTGATTAGGATATGATTATTACAGTCAAGTTGTGTTGTCACACACAAACAAACAGCTGAGATCAGAGAGGCAGAGAACACTTGAGCCAAAAAAAAGGCTTCAATCTGCACGAGAACTTGAACTTGGATGTTTGGTCAGGATTATCATGTTCGCCACTATATGGTTCTTTGCAGAAGCTTTCAGCTTGGCATCTTGTTTTCCTTCATCCACAGTTCTGTAGAGGGTGACATATTTTTGTAGGCCAACCCAGAAGTTAGTATCGTCCCAGTTCCCTTGCCAAAAAGTCGACGGGATTTTTCCATAGGCGTTTGGATTATTGCAGAACATAAGCTCTGTGAAAAACAACAGTTTATGACAGCAAGATAATTTTCATAAGTCAGCACCACTTTTATGATTTTGAAGCCCAAACACAATTGCTAGAAGTAAAAGGCTAATTTTTGACTATAAACATATTATACCACGGTCCCATGACTTCAGCATCACCACCAAGGTTTCCAAATTGTCATTTGATTTAGTGAGCTTACCTCTTCTACAAAAACCTTTCCTCTTAGTGTGACCTGATGTGGCTAGGGCAGTGCCAATTAGTTAGGATAGTTTGCAAATGCGCGGCTTTAAACACAAGACTGTAAAGGCGGGCTAGTGAGGAGGTGAGTCTCTGTGTTTGGCATTGTAACGGTTAATATCCCAGACAGCCTCTGTAGTCTCATTTAGCCATTTGTTAGCAACTGCCATTTTAAAATTACACAATCACAAGTGGTGTATTAACTGACGTCTCTTATGTCATAGAAGAAAACGGGTTTAACCAAAAACTCATTCAAAACACCCATAGACGTCATGGCCAAAGAGCCCGAAATGCAAAAATGCTGGCTCAGTTCTGGATTTTAGGACTCACTCTATATAGACATAAACATCTCAGTTTTTGTTTATTTTATTAAATTAAGTCTTGTAAATTCATTTCTGTGAGATACTGACAATCATTCTGTTTCATCTTGCAGGTTTCCCAAGAAAGCAAACAGGTAAGAATGTTCATCTAATATTTTGTTACACAGGCTAGAGATAGGGCGGATCAGGTTGATTCGTGATCCAAACAGACCACCTGCAATGGTTCGACATGTGTGTGAACCACAAATTAATTAGGGAGTTCAATCATTATAGTGTGAAATTGTTACTGTTGTCTTGTAAATCACTAGTTCCCAACCACTTGATTTGTTACAGAGTTACAGTGAAAACATAAGGTGGATTCTACTGGGCCGTGCTAGCATGCCACTTGTTACGTAGTGTGGTTAAAATGAACAGTGATTAACGCCCATCCGGCACAAAGTCCACCATGCTGGTCGGGTTTTGTAACACACTCACAGAGACAACGCAGTTTTGTTCACATGACGGGGCGTGTTAAAGCAGTTGGCAGGAAAAGCCATGGCTAATGAAGGAGCGGAAGAACTTGAAAAGCCCCCCGCATTATTAAGTCGCATGTATGGGAGCATTGTGATTTTCCTGTAAAATATGATGACAGAAAGATGGTGGATAAACCTGTTATGGTATGTAGGGTTAGGGTTAATTGTAAGATTTTATTTTAACATTGAGAATCTTGACTGTTGTTTTCAATTAAGACCATATTCAAAAATTCCTTTCTTTAAGTGTTGACTCTCATAAGTGTCGAAAGCGAAGTTATATTTATTTATTTAGCTAAACCAAAAAAAGTGATTCAGTCCATGACACCAAATCCGTGATACGCTCTCAACCATGAGCTTTGTGATCTGTCCCACTCCTAACAGAGACATGCATGCTTAAGGGTGGCAACACACACATAGACACACCAGTGGTTTACACACCCAGCTCCAGATGAGGGAAATGAGGCAAGCTTTTCAAGGCCTGGTGTTGCTACAACACAGAAGTCTTCAGAATTTGGACCAAACATAACCCCCACACACGCATATACACATACAGAGTGACAGACAAAGGGGTCCCTCTTCTAAGGGCGGCCCATCACTGCCTTTCACTGTGAAGAAAACAGTAGCCTTTCACAGCTGGGGCCGGTATAAGCAGAAGCAGCCATACATACCCTCCTGAGGTTCACGCCAGAGTCTGGCCTTGTGACGCCTTCTCTTAGGAGCATCCTTTCTCTGGCCTTGCTCTCTGGGCACTCAGCAGAGTGGTTCCACATCCTCTCTGGCTGTCATATTATACAGTAGACTCACTCAGCATGATTCATACAGTGCTAGGTCCTCTTTCTACAATATTCTCTGTGCTGAAGTGAACAATGGTTGGTTCTGTGTCTTGCTGTGATTCCTTCTGACCCTTCACTTGCCAGCAGCTTACGTGTATATACACTATAGTAGCAACAAGATTCATGTAATACATAATATGTAGTGCTGCCACCATGAGAAAAAATTTTGCTCATTATAACAATAATAATCTCATTATGCTGTTTTTGTCTTGTTTTAATGGCGTACTGTATATTCTCATTGTAACGATATACTGTAATAACCTCAGTGAGAAATAGTTTCAAAATTATGGCCTGAAGAACCATCTAATTTGATAACACACACTCTAGAGTTGAGGTGTTTTAAGCATCTTAGCAGGATGCCTACAGGGTGCCTGCCTTTGAAGGTTTTCTGGGCATGTCCAACTGGTAGGAGACCCTGGGATAGACCCAGAGCATGCTGGAGAGATTATATATCTCATTTGGCCTCGGAATCCTGCGAGAGGAGCTGGAACACGTTACTGGAGAAAGGGACATCTGGACAACCTTGCTGAACCTGTTGCCACTGCAACCCAATCTCGGATAAGTGGAAGAAAATGGATGGACACTCTAGAGTGAATCGTATCATTTCCACAGTTATTCTTGAGAAATGGTATTGTGCCAAGTTCTGCCTGCTGAGAACCACATGCCCCTTGTGGGAGCATTGCAGGAGCATCATGCACAGCACCAGCTGGAGCATCCTTCCTAAGCTCATTCATCTCAGCAGCCTCTCTCTCATCAACACCCTCCTATACCAGCTTTCTGCACAATCACCAGCATAGTGCTTAGGTGCACTTCAGCTGGTCCTTGAGAATCACTGATCTGACACATAAACCCATGCACCATATTTACATATGGGCAAACAAAAATAGCACATGAGTGCAGCAAGAAACCCTGCACATTTCCCAATCATGTTAAAAGCATTACTGATGGCAAGTAAGGTCGGTCTGTGTGCTGTTGTCATTCACTACAAGCAATGCAGGGCTCACATTAGTAGAAATGATGCAATCTACTCTAGAGTGGTTCTTTGGGCCATAAATTTGAAACTAGGCTATACCTCTCTTTGTAATTGAAGTTACCACATTATGTCCTTATAATGAGAAAATACAGTATCATGCTACAGTGAGGTAATATACTGTTGTAATAACATAAGAAATATCACATTTTAATGTGAAAGTATCACACAAAAATAAGAGAATATCTTGTTATAATGAGAAATGTTTCTCATTGTAAAGAGATACTGAGCAAAATAGTTTTCTCATGGTGGCAGCAATATGGTGCCATAATGCATAAAGATGTGACAGCACTTTCTGGACAAATGCCAACATTTTGCACTGTTTAACCACTTGGTTTACCTGTTTCTCACAAGTGTTCCTCTTTCCCCAGAACCAGCAGCATTCTCAGTAGAGACCACCCCCCGGACAAGAAGCCCAAAAGTGACAAAACCTCACTTTCCTCCAATGAGTTTGACCCTACAGGTAATGTCCTAACATAAGGCTCATAACTCCTCATGTTTTCTTTTCCTCTCTGATACACACAGTTTTTTTTTCCCATCCTGTCCCCCTGTGCCTGAATGCATCACTTTATCTGACTTTGCTGACTGTCCCTCTCACCTGTTTCTTTCTCTCTCTCTCTAATACATACACAAACGGTATCATAAAACAGTAATGGTTTGCACAAGGCATGCCTAGATGGTTAAAAGTGGTATGTGTATCTTTTTGAAAACTGGGCATTTATTTTTATTTGTGTGAGACAATTGGATCTTACCACTGGAGCCTTTTGAACTTATTTTGAATGTTTTTTTGAAACTTTAACTCATGGACATGACAATATGTATTTATTATATCCATGTTACTTTTATCTATATTACTTGTGTGGTGTAGAAGAGAATTATTTATGTAGAGATACTGCTTGCAAACCAATGATGGTAAGATGATGTCATGGGGTAGGACTGGATAAGTCTGACTTCTTCCTACTCCATTCAAGCATGTACTAGGTATAAGCAAATTGATATTGGATTAGCATTTGTTGGATATGTGTAAAATTATGTGTGTTGACATATCAACTGTCTTTACATGCTTGAAAGAATAAATCAAATCAAATCAAATGTTATACTAACTCTGTTATACTAAACTGTTTGGCCAAAGCTTAGGTTGTATTACATATGCTGTTGCAGGTTTTAAGATGATTTTCGCTGGGGTGGGGGGGCTAATCCCAGCTGACATTGGGCGAGAGGCGGGGTACAGGTCGCCATTCTAGCACAGGGCTGACATGTAGAGAAACAACCACACACACTCCCGGACAATTTAGAGCCGCCAATCAACATGCAAACTCCACACAGACCGCAAACTCACCTTGCTGTGAGGCAACAGCACTAAACACTGTCCCACTGTGCCACCCCAGTCTTTGCACAAGTAGTTGCACTTTAATACAAAATAGTTCAGTAGTGCTCCACCTCAACCAAATACAATAGCCAAATCCTGCTTTTACATCAGTGTATGACAGGCTATTAATGTAATAATACAATATAGGGAGTTTTTCCTCCCCACTGTCGCTAAGTGCTTGCTCAAGGGGGATTTGTTGGGTTTTCCCTATGTAATAATATTGATAACAGTAAGGTCTAGACCTTAGTTTGTAAAGTGTCCTGAGATGACTTTTGTTGTGATTTGGTGCTATACAAATAAAATTTGATTTGATTTGATATACAGTGGAACTTTGGATTGCGAGTAACCCAGTTTGCGAGTGTTTTGCAAGACAAGCAAAAAATTTTGATTCGATATACGAACGAGGTCACGCAATACGAGTAGTAGGTACGTTTTGTCTGCTGAGTCATGTGGCGTATGTCACAACTGAGCCGATGGTTCTCACGCCTCACTCGTATAGTCAATATCTTTTACTAGCCCTCACGCCAGGCACGATTCTTTTCAAAGGTAAAGTGCAGGTTCATTTGTTTTAATTTTTACTTTATACTGTATTTTATATTACTGTAATCATTTTTATATGGATAAGTGAGTGTGGAACGAATCATCTGAATTTCCATTATTTCTTATGGGGAAATTCACTTTGTACGACTGCTTTGGATTACGAACACATTGCTGGAGCAAATTATACTGGTAATCCAAGGTTCCACTGTACTGTAAAGTATAACATTATTCTGCATTGAGTAGCCTACTAATACTTTAAGTACATTTTTGTATTAATACTTACTTTTACTTAACATTATTAATGCAGGACTTTTTGGAACAGAGTAGGCTACTTTTGCAGTGTGATATTTGTACTTTTAAGTAAGGGATGTGAATACTTCCTCTACTACTGGTACTAACATGCTTTAATTATATAACATGTTATGTGCTGTGTTTTTAAATTATCTTTATAACCCTGTTTATTCTTTAGGGTCAATCTAGTGCTACAAATCAGCTCAATCAACTGGCACAGTCACAATTAAATCAAAAAGGCCCTTTTTCCCTATTCTTCTCAGTGTCATTGTAACTGTGTAATACCATGAAACCGTGATATTTTCTGAGACGGTTGTCCTACTGTTGCAACCCTACAAGGTGTACACTTTGTTACCTGTCTGTGTGTAGCACCTCATTAAAATCTTGTTCCATGTATTTCTCTGATGGTTTGGGTCATGTTTGGACTGATACAGTCGTTAAACAGTGCACGGTAGCCACAGAGAAGCACAGAAGGCTGTATACCATTGAAAACTACCTCTTTAGATCCTTATTAGATTATTCTTTCAAGACATGACACAGATTTGAATTTATGCCATGCTTTTTGCATGTCTGCATGATGATATTCTATATTTTTGTTTGTCCCTTTTTAGTTATCTGCAAGGTGCATGAACAGTTTTTTCCCTGGATTTTCTCCTTTCCTGTCATAATTTCACTGTGTTTGGTTTATCTGACGTGGGCAGGACTAGTCAAATACTCTGGAAATGGATGTTCAAACCAAATCCTGAGATTCATGTTTTCAAATGTGTGCACCGATTACATCATTTATTACAGTTATAGGCTTAAAATATACTGAGGATTTTTCAAAGTTATTAAGGGACCAGGAGCAGTTCCTCCTTTGTTATGAGATGTAACGTTTTTGGATTTATCATTAGTCATCTTCTGTAACACAATTTAAACATTCAGAATATACCAGAGCCCTAGTTTGAATGCTGTTTCAGTGCACAGGGGTCGTGGCCATGTTAGTATTAGCACAGTATTTTAATATCGAAAAACCATTTATAGGCTTCTCTTTTCTGTCGCATGTCTTTTTAACGCTTAATTGCACTTGACTTACTTAAGAAGATTTTATACGGGTGGCAAAACTCTGGAAAAATGAGGCTCCTGTCATTGAAGTCACAATGAATAGATAGTGTGACACCTAGAGGAATGGGGTATTATAAAAAAAAGAGTACTTCCAACAAAAACCCAAGCTAGCTGATTTTTAGTGACTGCGCTCCTGCCTATCCAAAACCATTGTTTGATCAAATTACAGTACTTGTTGGTTTATTTAGTTTTTTTTTTTTAATCCCATGATTGTTTCTCCCTTATGATTTTCTTTTTCCTGTGTTGTTTCCTTTCTTTGTGTTCTTGTTTTGTGTGTGTGCACACGCCTGTCTTTGTGTGTATATGTTTGTTTGCTGCTGTGTTGTCTGCGCTGTGGCCTGCGTTTTGGGGGCTGTGCGCAGAAGCTCTGGTGGTGCAGAAGAGCAGCAGCAGTGTGCTAGCAGAGGGGAAGACTGAGTCCTGTGGTAAGATGCTCTTGCTGTAATGGCTGGGGTGACAGCTGCACCTATCCATGCTTGAATCCCTGGTGTGAAATTGCCGCTAGATGTTTGTTTTAAGCAGAGTGGTAGCAAAAGGGTTTAATGTACTATATTCATTCTTAATTATTATACTAGACTGTGACTCATAGAAGATGTATGTGTCACAAAAAAGCAGTTTATAATTTTGGCCATAAAAAGATGTTTGGCCGGTGGATTTTTTTCGTCTACCAGCCACCTTGGGGTGGTGAGTTGAAAAGTTAATTCCAGACCATGTGTCCATCTGTATGCTTGGTATGTTCTCGTTGCACTCGTTGCCAAAACACAGCTAAGCTCACTGCTTCCTTATTCAATAAGAGAACTTTTTGGGAAAATGAATTCAGTAGGCATTGAATAAAATGTGAAGTTAAATGTTACTAAAAAGTAAATATTATGTACATGCCTACAGGGTCTTGCTTTTGCCTAGAGTGAAGCCGAGCACCCAGAGAACAACAGGCTTTGTAACATGTTTTCAGAATGCACATGTTAGCAGGGCCATCATGGAGCCTCATCACCCCTGTGGTGTGAGAGGTCCTCATAACCCTGTTCATGTCATCTCTGGTGCTTCTTACATCAATTGGACACTTTTTCATATTCTCTTTTTTGTTGGCCACAATGACACCGAAGGCCTTGAGACAGAATTTGTCAGGTGATGTGAGATTTCCAGCCCAGCGACCCCTAGCGGGTGCTAGCCTCACGTGCAGTGAACTGACGTACACATTCTTAAGGCAGCTGTCAGAAATGCCCGTTTCTGCTGATGGCAGTCTAGTCTGTCTAGGGCACAGCTCATCTAGATAAGCTTCTACTGTCATATTTAACATGCATGTTTGTATTCTCTGTGTTTGAACCAGCTATCTGTACCGTGTCTGGTGTTGCACCAGTTTAGAACGGAAGACATTCACAGATGAAAAGCCTTTCTCACAGGTCATCACTTAAAGCTGTGAAGACTCAGACTTTTAGGTTCAAGAAAAGTAGACTGACCTTTGGATGTGGTATTCTAATGACTTGGGTTCCTTCTTTTTGTGATTGTGGGGCTAAAGATTCTCTGTCAGTATTAAAGGTCAGTTTTTTTGTTTGTGTTTCAGCCAAGGGTGCTGATTATGGCTCAGTTAGACCTCTGAATAATACATTAGCTTAGATGGATTACCATGATCACTGATCATGTCAGCACTCCCACTCCTCATGGTTTATAAATAACTCAGAAACACTGCTAAGCCCAGGTAACAGACAGAAGATCAGCATCTAGAGGAAAATTCACACCAGCTCTTGAACCCATATGGCTTCATCTGTTTCCTTGACACTTGTGCCCTCTCCCCCTTTCCCTTCCCCCTGTTCCCTCAGCTCTACCTAACCGCCTCTGTACTCCCTTCCCCCTAGCCTTGGGCTTTTCACTCACCAAAACTCTGTGTGTTAGCCCCTGTTCCTTACACTCTCCAACCCCCATGCTATCACCGGCCTCATCGATGGACTCACCTCTCTGGTTCTTTGCACTGACCAGGAAATCTCAGTTCAAGGGTCACCTCACTGAGTCTGGGTCACTTGCTGGAAATTTATTCTACTCACTCCACAGTATATTTTTTCTTTGCATTGTGTTTCCTTTTGCGTGTGCTGTCCTGTCAGTCTAGTCAGTGGCAGCCAGACAATAGATAAGCTCTAATCTGTGCTTGCCATGCTAATGGAACATGGCATAAAGAACCTGAAAAGTAACAATCCTCCTCCTGGCTTGTGAGACATCAACCAGAAATGTCTAGGGTGTCAGACAAGAAAAGAGCATGAAGCATGAACACTTTACATAATTTTTTTGTTGTCTTACAGCCAGTAAGTTGGCTGGTGGTGTAAAGGTTTTGACTTTTTAATATTTTCTGGCCAACTTTAGTATTAACTTTGTTTACTGTACACACTTGTTATCCTGGCAACAGAGTCTAGACTACTAGAGATCGGTTATCTGCTGATATGTTAGGTTCACATTTTTTTCTAGCATTTCTCAAAACGTCACTCACATGGCCATGTGTACATTGAAAGCATTATCGGTTGTTGTTCTTGTGATTGGCTGCAAAAAAGATCATCTTCTTCACACACCTCGTTGTGGTCAGTGTGGACAGGCAGAACATAACCTCTGACTAATAATTCTTCTTCTAAAAACGCACATACAGGCACGTGAGTATTGTTTTGAGATTTGCATTATTTTAAAACTGTGAACCTGTCCTTTAAAGGAGCGGTCGGCTCTTTTTGTTTTTGTAAAAATCCAGCTTTTGCTCAGCACGTACCGGAACTCAACTCAAAGAAATTAACGTGTAAAAAGTAATTTTCACAGACCGTCAACTGCAAAATGTGATTGTTGTCACTCAGTTGAATTCCTTCAAATGAAAGTCATATTTTAATGTTGAGTACATGGGTGAGGTTTAGTTTTATTTTTCACAAAGTTTAATGTTGTTGCACTGATGTCATATAATTAAGTCAATTTCCTTTACTGGCTTTTTGGTTGTTTTGAAGACATTATGTCTTTCTGTCACTCTTGCAGGTCTGGTCCAACGATGTGTAATCATCCAGAAAGATGAAAATGGCTTTGGGCTCACTGTCAGTGGGGACAATCCAGTGTTTGTGCAGCTTGTCAAAGAAGGTAAGGTGGAGTCTCAAACTTAGATGGACAAAAGAATGTTATTAGAGTGACTGCTTCTAGTCTAAACAATTGTAACAGAGATGTGGTCTTGCACTGACATCAGACTGTCATGGTAGTTTGCACCGAACTCACAGACATAAGAAGTAATTGGGGCTCACCAAACACCACGATTCAGGCATTTACTTAGAGCAGTGAAGCTGCTGACTGTATTTTTCCTTCTCAGTAGTTGCACAGCTTCTGGTTATCCTGTTGTCTTTTAGAGAGGGGACTTTGACAGGATACTTATGTGGTCCTGGGCAGTCTCTCGCTGTCTGTAGAGGATGATTGCTGTTATCAGGCCACAGAAAATATTGCACCATCTCTGCAGTAGTGAAGAGAGACAGAAAAGGAAGGAACTGATGGAGGACTTTTGCTGCACTGTCATCAGAGCTTGGCAGCGTTTAACTATCCTATGCTCCCCCCATTTGTACTTTTGTCATTGACTCATCACAAGAGCAGTCTGCGTAGTTTTATTAGAATAATTTATACTTCTTTTTTATTTGATTGTAAACCGAGTAGCAAACAAAATGTATCTTGTTTCTTTCTGCAGCTTTTCCTGTTTATACCTTAGCGTAGATCTTGCATAAGATGAAGCCTTAATAAGCTTTGTGTCTTTTTCAACCACCATGGAAAAGCACAATGTTTTGGTTGCTCTGAAAATCCCAATATCTGATCACATGTAAACAAGGCCTTTAGTCACAAATAATCGACCACACCTATCATACTTTCAGAATGACTGGTCAGATATCTGATGTACTTAGTTCACTGACACTAGTTAAACCTTTCCTACTAATACAAAAACGAAGATCTAAAACACACATTATAAGTAGTGCATTTGTATAGTTGCGTATGGTGTACAAAATACTTCAGCTGCTGACTGCAGAGTCAGACCTGGATCTCATAATAACCTGTCTCAGAACTAAATCCCTTTGTTTGGGGTGGAGCTGTGAAACAGGTCCTTCTAGTAATATAACCACTGTTATGGTCTTTCAGAATAACACTCAGCAAGTCACTTTGCACTTTGGTCTGTTAAACCTGTGCAGTGTAGTCACTGTACAGAAGTCTTCCACAATGCAATTTGATGCTGCATATCTTCTGTGCTCCCGTTTCCTGCAATCAGTTCCATTCTTCCATTTGTTTCTTTAACACTCTTTTACTCATGTGTTTGCCAGATGGGGCTGCTATGCGAGCAGGTGTTCAGACAGGAGACAGGATCATCAAGGTATTGGGGTACATCTGCCTCCATGTTTCTAAACTGCTAATGTCACTGTTTTCTAGTCCAAGGCAGGTATGAAGGTTATAGGCTGCCACCTTCTGGTCAGTCCCCATTTCTGCTTGTTCTGCTGTGTTTGGGAATGTAATCAGTTGTCAGATTGTAAAGCTGATGTTTTGGACTTAGTACCTGGTTCTTAAGTCTCATCATGGCACCATTGCTGTCTTCCAGGTTAACGGGACCCTTGTTACACATTCTAATCACATTGAAGTAGTAAAACTAATCAAATGTAAGTTCTTCTACCTCTGTTTAAGCAGACTTGACATTTTAAAACTAAACCTTAAAGTAAAACTGACACATTCCTTTTTTTCTCACTAGCTGGCTCCTATGTGGCCCTCACAGTGTTGGGGCGCCCTCCAGGGCTTGCCCAGATCCCTTTGTCTGAAGCAGAGTCTGAAATGTCGGGCATTCGCATTTCCTCTCCAAACTCCCCAGCAGCAGAACGGCCCAACAGTCCTCAGGACCGACTGTCCTCCGTTCTGCCTCCATGGGTACTGAGGACATCACTTCTGCTGTCCTCTTTCTATTTCTTGCCTTCACAAACTTCCCTTCTTTCTAAATATGGCCTCTTTTTTGTGGCGGCTTCTGTGTATCTCATCTTTACCTAAAGTATTCTGTAAGATTAAATATTTGTTAAATGCATCTGAATTATGTATGTCTAATATTTACTTGAACGTGTTTGTTCTGTAGTCTGCTGTATAGTTCCCCATTATGGTTTTTCCCCCACAGGATGAGAACAGCAGTGTCTGCAACCAGAAGGTTGACATCTTGCAAAGGATGCTCTCAAAAGAGCAGCAGGAGCTGCAGGTTAGCATAACAGTTAATGCCATTTACTCTCTCCTCTCGGTTATGACACTGACACAATTATCCCTGGAAATATTGAGGTGATTTGCCCCCTTTATTGAAGTTACATCAAATAACAGTGCATATCTAAACCCAGTTAGGGAACATTGTGCTGCTATTATTTGTGCTGAAAATGAAAGTCTCGGCTCTCAGCCTCCTTTAAATGGATCATAACTGTACACATGAAGCAGGTAGTTTGCGTACACTTGATAGGAATGCTGTTGTTGAGACAAAATTTTACTCTTCACCCCACGCTTCATATCAGAGTCTGCATATGTGATATTTAATTAAATAACCTTATTGTGTACAGCTAGAATATTAGGTGACCCGTGTCAGGGTACTGGGTTCCTAATTTCTTGTGTTGATTTCACCACTCTTGCTGTCTAGGCCATGAAGGAGGAGTACAGCAAGAACCCCTCTCCCAAACTACTGAAAGACATCCAGGAAGCTAAAAAACACATTCCTCAGCTGCAGGGTCAGTTCTTCAAGGCCATTAGGACAATACAGGTAAAGCAAATAACCCCCCTTTAGCTAGCTACCCAGCACACTAATACACAGAATAGGCTAGCTCATCTACCAGCAACATCCACGCAGCCTTTGTACAGTTTTGTGTAGGCATCATTCAAGGCAAACCTTATTCCTAATCTTATCAGAGGATCAAGCTGAAGCCACTCTTTTGGTTCTGTGTGACAACTTATTTTATTTTCAGCACCTTGCTTTATGTATAGTATATTAACATATTTGACTGGTCTCTTGATTTTAAAACAAAGTTTTCTTTTATTAGAATGCACTGTTATAACACTGATAAATTAATAATGTGTTAATTATTCCTCTTAGCTTTTGCCTGAGTTAAAACGTTTTGTTCTGGACTGTGAAGGCTGTTTTTTATGTATTAAGGTTGTTCATAATTAGTAACAAATTTTGTGTATATGTAAATCTTCAGGAGGCTGTTTTCAGTGGTGATGCAGATAATGGTAGCATATTTGAGACAGAGCACACTCTGGCCTCTAGGGGAGACAACAGTACAGAGCTGTCCTGGAGCAGTACTCCCGTAAGTTGTCGCCTAAGGACCACATTTTAAATTTCCCTCTGAACTTCTTATTAAACTTTTAAGACAACATATTGAGGACATTTTGCTAAATGAGTTGAACTGGTTGCAGTATGCCCTGCTTAGCTTTAGCTACTTCAGGCCTAGACACCAGTGCAGACACTGTTGGCGTATGTATTGATTCTGTATTCAAATTACTGTCAATCATGTATAATCACTAATTTAAAAATTAGACAGCAATTGTTTCATTGTCTTGGTGGTTTCTTTAGTAAAATTTAGTTTGAATTAAACTGTAATGTTTTGTTCCATGCCACCTCTAGATATCTCGTGGATTCGGGCCCGGGTCACCAGAGGGCTTGTATCCAAGAGAGTCATCCTTCCCCAGCCCAAAGAGCACACCCAGAAACAGCCTCAACTCCTGCCACTCTCCAGAGGCAGAGGATGCCACTGACCTGGTAGCTATACTGTTTGGCCCTGTGCAAACTCTCATCAAAATATTTATTTGGTGATATAAGCATATATTTTGCAAACTCTCCAATTGCTGTCAGTGCAAGTGCATTCCAGATTAGGGGGTTTTCAAACTGAGCTTTTATCTTGAGAAAAGGTCACTTCACACTATCTCAATGTCTTGTCCCCCCAGGATTCTCTGTCCCCTACCACAGTCAGCAGTCCCTGTCCTCGCCTCATGTCACATATCATTGGAGCTGAAGATGACTATTTTGATTCAGACCAAGAGCAGGTATTTTACCACGGGGCGGTGTTAATATTAGTGTCATTCATAAAATGCAATTCTGGAGCTTTTTAGGTATCACAAACCAAGCTTTGTAGGTGAAGTATAAATAAAAGTTACCAGATGATATTACATCAGGTAAAGATGCCAAGGTTGCAGACTGTTGTACTGAATGTGTTTCAGACAAATGGCCAATTTAACAGCTTTAACAGCATCGAGCAGCTCAAGTCTCGCCCTGCCCACCTCGCAGCCTTCCTTCACCATGTTATCTCTCAGTTTGACCCTTCTCCTGTGGTAAGACCCTCTTCCTACGCAGCTTATTAAAACCTTTTTATATATGAATTTTCTGCTTATATGCATCCTGGCAGGCTCTAAAGATCTCTGATTCTATGGCTCCTATTCTTGTGTCATCAGCTGTGCTACCTCTATGCTGACTTCTACAAGCAGACCAACTCCAAAGAGACTAGACGGGTGTTCTTGGACCTCCACACTTTCTTCATTGACCGGGGAGCAGTAAGTACAGTTGTTGTTCACCACAATAAAATGTGGGGAACACAGTAGGCTCCAGCATCTGCTGATGATGTTGTCTGTAGCTGCAACACCAATGATGAAATTTACCCCAAAATTTACAGATTATGATAAGGTGATAACATTTTTATGAGTCTGTTGTTTTATAATCTACATTTACAGTGACATTTAATATTATTTGAAAGTATTTTGCTTGTGTAACGCTTTTTGTTTTTGTTGTAGAATTTGAAAGTTGCTGTTCCTGAATCCATTTCTGCTGATCTTGGTAAATATTTCATTTTGAATAGATACAATTTTTCAATTTTTTTTTTTTTTTAAACCTCTTTTGTCTCACGTGAATCATGCAGCCATGTTTATACAGTGGCTATAATTTGATCACTTAATTAATTTGATATAATTAATTAATATAATTTGATGCACACCCTTGATGAAGCTGTTAAGAAGTCAGATGTTTGGAATGGATTGGGAAAGTACTGCACATTTTTAGTGCATGTCACAATCCCTTGATTCTTGATGTACAGTGTGTGTGCATTTGTTTGCAGACCGGCGGCGGACAGAACTGATCCCAGAGGAAATAAACAGACAACATGTTCAAACACTGCAGGACTCTCTGCTCCCTGACATTCAGAAGAACCTTGAGGATTTCAGGTGAATTTGTCGAATTAGAATTTTCATCTTGTGTGGCAGGTTCTGATTAATTGCAGAAACTTGGTTATTTCTCACATCGAGTATCTTGTTTAGTATACTATCATGTGTTTAATCATTTACTGATCTTAACGACATAACAGTATAATGATGTGATATGTTGGTATGTGTAGGCAAAAGCGCAGTATGGGCCTAACGGTGGCTGAAGTAGAGCTGACCAGACTGGACCAAGAGAGAATCAGAGACCGTGTCACTCTGGAGCGAGAGCGCTCATATGCTGAAAACATCATGAACAAGATAGAGGATATTCTGTAAGTAGCACAGTGCCCCCCCACCCCCCCACACACAGGCTGCTTGGATGCACAAGACACTTTCTAACCGTTACAAGCCACTTAGACAATTCTTCTTCTTTGTATTGTTTATAGATTAACTACTCAGACCACAGAGGAAGAGAAATGGTAAGCAAACCTATGTATCGGAGCATTTCATTGATAGATATGAAGAGTGTTTCTCAAAGCATGTGGAGAGGGTCGTTTAGGGCTGCAAGGGCTCTCATGGCCCATCAAGCCATCTGTGTCTCACAGTAATCTAAAACAATTACCATGTCACAGCATGTTTTTTAGACTTTTTTTGACTCTTTTAAATTAATTATTAAATTATAATTTGTAATTAATACTATATTTATGGTGTTTGATGTTTCGACCAAGAACATAACATCATACTGGGGTTATCCATGGTTTACAGTCTCTTAAAGAAAATACATTATTTATGCAGTAGGTTTATATTAGATAATTCAAAAGTGTGATGGATTGAAACAGTCTTACTTGAAATACCATATGGTCGCAGCACAGCCCATATGGGTTGTGTAGAAATTGTATGAGAACAACTGCTATGACATATGGTGCAAGGCACAATATGGACACTTATTCTCTTCATATTTTAGCTCTCCCTTATTTTGCTTTTAGTTCAGAAACCTTTGTTTTCCTTTAGCACTACAATGCAGTATGTTATCTATACATACATGAAGCACCTTGGTGTGAGGGTCAAGGAACCTCGCAGCCTTGAGTCCAAACGGGTCAGGATCAACTTTCTTCCCAAGATCAAGGTACTTTATTTCCATTTTTGCTCTGTGGACCTTCTCTCTTTGTCTTTATCATTTGCCTGACTCTGCCTTTCCTGGGTTTGATAATATACAGAAAAGCATCAAGGCAGACAAGGAAGGAGAAGAGAAAGTGAAGAAACCCAGATTTCCTAGTATCCTTGGACCACAGCGTCGGCCCAGTCGTATTGAATCTGCACCAGGTAATTTCTAACATTTGAATAAGCCAAAATTCTGACTTGATTCATAAAGATTTTATTTATTTATTATTATATTTTTTGTGTTCTCTTTGTATCCAGCGAGTAAAGGCTTGGATGGTCGCCCACGGCCTCAGAAACAGTTGTCTCAGCCCACAATGGGGGCAACTGAGCAACCAGACTCTGGGCGTCTAAGAGGCAGCCAATCGAGTGAGGGCTCTGAGCTCATACACTCCATGTCTGTCAACACCTCATCCCCAAACAGCTCCACCTACAGCTCAGACATCAACCGAGATGTTGATATGGGTGAGCTACTGAACTACTGAATTAAACACTTCAGCAGAACATAAAGACGGGAAGTGATGGTTTCTCACTTGTTGCATGTCTCTCAGGTGGGACTCTGACCTCAGGCTCCTCCAGGCTCAGTGATGGCCTTCAGTCCGACCCTCTGGATGGGTTGCCGTACCCTGCTTCACACTTGGACCTGTACAGCCTGGACCAACTGCAAGAGGATGACAGAGAAAGTGACAGGTGCTGTGATAGTCACATTTCCAGTAACAGTTTTGCTTCCTTACATAAAGAATATTTATTTATTACATAGATTTTTCTGTTCATATTATTTGTAGAGCCCACGAGGAAACACCAAAGGCCATACGAAGGTAAAGATGTGGTCATTTTGACTTTTCTACCTTAAATCATTATTTAAAAAAGAGGTGGTGATGTGCATTGGAGAGTTTTTAATTAGCCAGCTGAAAAGCTAACTTTCTGTCGGCCCCAGGTTTGAGGGACTGGGTGCTGCTGATGTCCAGAGCGAGGATGACCAGGGAACAGACTCTGAGCATGATCCCCCAAACTGGCAGCAGCTGGTTGGGCGAGAGATCCTAGCAGGTCTCAGGCCTCATGAAATCAAGAGACAGGAAGTCATCAATGGTAAGGACATGGTTTATTACTTAACATAATATGAGAGTTAAATAAGCTACAGTGGTGTGAAAAAGTGTTTGCCCCCTTACTGATTTCTTATATTTTTGCATGTTTGTCACACTGTAATGTTTCAGATCGTCAAACAAATTTATATATTAGTCAAAGATAACACAAGTAAACACATCATGCAGTTTTTAAATGAAGGTTTTTATTATTAAGGGAAAACAAAATCCAAAACTATATAGCCCTGTGTGAACAAGTGTTTGCCCCCCTGTCAAAACACTGGTTTATCGCACCTGAGTTCAATTTCTCTAGCCACACCCAGGCCTGATTACTGCCACACCTGTTCGCAATCAAGAAATCACTTAAATAGGACCTGCCTGACAAAGTGAAGTAGACCAAAAGATCCTCAAAAGCTAGACATCATGCCGAGATCCAAAGAAATTCAAAACCAAATGAGAAAGAGAATAATTGAGCTCTATCAGTTTGGAAAAGGTTATAAAGCCATTTCTAAAGCTTTGGGACTGCAGCGAACCACAGTGAGAGCCATTATCCACAAATGGCGAAAACATGGAACAGTGGAGAACCTTCCCAGGAGTGGCCGGCCGACCAAAATTACCCCAAGAGCGCAGCGACAACTCATCCAAGAGGTCACAAAAGACCCCACAACAACATCCAAAGAACTGCAGGCCTCACTTGCCTCAGTTAAGGTGAGTGTTCATGACTCCACCATAAGAAAGAGACTGGGCAAAAATGGTTTGCATGGCAGAGTTCCAAGACGAAAACCACTGCTGAGCAATAAGAACATAAAGGCTCGTCTCAGTTTTGCCAGAAAACATCTTGATGATCCCCAAGACTTTTGGGATAATAGTCTGTGGACAGAAGAGACACAAGTTGAACTTTTTGGAAGGTGTGTGTCCCATTATGTGTGGCGTAAAAGTAACACTGCATTTCAGAAAAAGAACATCATACCAACAGTAAAATATGGTGGTGGTAGTGTGATGGTCTGGGGCTGTTTTGCTGCTTCAGGCCCTGGAAGACATGCTGTGATAAGTGGAACCATGAATTCTGCTGTGTACCAAAATATCCTGAAGGAGAATGTCCGGCCATCCGTTTGTGACCTCAAGCTGAAGCGAACTTGGGTTCTGCAGCAGGACAATGATCCAAAGCACACCAGCAAGTCCACTTCTGAATGGCTGAAGAAAAACAAAATGAAGACTTTGGAGTGGCCTAGTCAAAGTCCTGACCTGAATCCAATTGAGATGCTGTGGCATGACCTTAAAAAGGCAGTTCATGCCCGAAATCCCTCCAATGTGGCTGACTTACAACCATTCTGCCAAGATGAGTGGGCCAAAATTCCTCCACAGTGCTGTAAAAGACTCATGGCAAGTTATCGAAAACGCTTGATTGCAGTTGTTGCTGCTAAGGGTGGCCCAACCAGTTATTAGGTTTAGGGGGCAAACACTTGTTCACACAGGGCTATATAGTTTTGGATTTTGTTTTCCCTTAATAATAAAAACCTTCATTTAAAAACTGCATGATGTGTTTACTTGTATTATCTTTGACTAATATATAAATTTGTTTGACGATCTGAAACATTACAGTGTGACAAACATGCAAAAAGATAAGAAATCAGTAAGGGGGCAAATACTTTTTCACACCACTGTACATTTCTGTTTCTAAAAGAATATACAAGGTTCACTCTCAGCGTGCTTTAAAATACTGCTTTGCGTTACAGAATATATTGAGTAGAAGGAAGCAGAGTATTTGTGGAGCTCCAATCCAAGTCATTCTCAAATTTATATTGTGTTGAGCTGCGCAAATGATTTGTTATCTTGAGTTAACATCTTGCATTGTGTCTGCAGAGCTGTTTTATACAGAGCGTGCACACGTGCGGATGCTCAGAGTTTTAGACCACGTTTTCTACCAGAAACTCTCCAAAGATGCCATCCTGCCTCCTGCTGACATCAAGAACATTTTCACCAACCTGGAGGAGATTCTACAACTGCATGGTATACACACACACACACACACACACACACACAGCCTTAAATCCATAGAAATGTTTTATCTATGCAAGATTTCTCTTGAGAAAACAATGATAAACCTCAAAAGTAAGGTAGTGAGAATTAAAATAGAGATCAAAGTAAAACTGGTCATCTACAAGAGTTTAAACCATGTCACATTTTCATATGTATTCTTCATCTTTGTTGTCTGACACACACACACACACACACACACTGACTGCCCTTTCGTTTCTCACCTTTGAATTTCAGTTTCAATACTGGAGCAAATGGCAGCTGTTCGGAAAAGAAATGAGTCTTCAGTCATTGATCAGATAGGAGACGACTTGCTCTCCTGGGTGAGTGCAATTCTCAGTCTGAAATTGTATTTCCTCTTTCAAACATCTTCTTAAATTGAATAAATTTCAAGATGACTGATGTGGTTGGAAAAAAATGTATTGTGCGCAAAGAAATTGAACTGTTACCTGAAATAGTTTTACAGCGAAAAAAATTGTTGATATTGACATGAGATTGGTTTCATCAGCTTCACATTTGTTTATTTTGACATATGTACACGAAAACACTCTTGTTCAGTTTATATATGATAGAGAAGGGATTATTTGAAATTTTGTCACACAGAGTAAATCCTACATCCTCCATCCCCACAAAAAAAAAATTAAACAAGGCACAGATGAACAGCTCTGCCCTCTATAAACAATCTCACTATAGATGTGAGGCAGCCACATATCAACTTTCTTTAAAATGTCTCCCTGAGGGATAAATAGTGTAAATTATGCCCTGAGAATTTAAGGATTGATCTAGTCCACATTTACACTTGAGCTGTCTCTGCTACCAGGACTTAAGCCCCTTCTGGGGGCTGGGCTTAACCACTCTCTGTAGCAGTTAGATACTAGACATTTCCATGGCAACTACCCCTGACCCAGATTCAACAAGTGACCAATCACATCTTTGTCTGTCTCTGCTCTGTCCTGTCTTGGGTCGGGTGGCTACAGTTCAGCAGTGAGGAGGAGAAAATCAAGCAGGCAGTGGGGACGTTCTGCAGTAACCAGCCTTTTGCTCTGGAGATCATCAAGACCAAGCAGAAGAAGGATTCGAGGTTCACATCATTCATTCAGGTGCTGACATTATACTCCCCTATTGCAGAAGGTTGCTATGCAAATAAAAGTGATAATTAGCTACTGCACTGAGTAAATGCTCAGAATGTGTTACACAGAAGAGTTCAACAAACTATATGTGGACCTGTCTTATTCAAGTCATTCGACTGAAAGGTCACTTTTCTCATTTAAATACAAGCTACGTGTAATTTTTTCACTGTTTTTTTTGTTTGTTTTTTACTTGTTAATGATTACATTTTGGGGACCGCGTCGCTGTAGCCAACTTGTAATTTGTGTTGTTTTGCAGGAGGCAGAGAGTAACAGACAGTGTCGCCGACTGCAGCTTAAAGACATCATTCCTGTAGAGATGCAGCGGCTCACCAAGTACCCCCTGCTGCTCGACAACATCGTCAAGTACACAGGTACTGCAGTGCTGCCTAGCCATTCACTACAATGGCAGCGATTTGTTCATGTTGTAATCAGCTTATGTGCACAAGGTAATCTGAACGGAGACATTGTCCGTATATTATATTAGGCTAATATCGGCTCATTGCAGATTTATTGGGGTATGTTTCAGCCAAACAAGTAATTGCAGCACAGAGGTCCAGAGTAGGTCTGAGTGTAGAAATTATATTAGCATTACATGTTCATTAGAGAGCACTGACAGGTAGATTTTATTTGAATTTTTATCCTTTGAAATGTCCAGCACAGTACTGTATACATCTTGGCCACACTTCCTTAAAAGCACCAATATATGATTTTGGCAAGAGTTCATGATTTTAAAAGTCAGCCAATGCATCTTAGATGGATGGATGGATGGATGGATGGATGAATGGCTAGAAAAAAAGTAGTAAGTGGGGGAAATATTACTTAAGCAAAAATTCTTCCAACAGAACAGGAAAATTTAACTTGCCAAAATTTTTAGAAATAAGTAAAAAAAATGTCTAGTCTCAAAAACTCAGATATTTCTTAAAACTAGTGCAGTTAGACTAAAAACAAGTACATTTTTCTGATGCAAAGCAGTTGTCAGTGTTGATCAAGCAGCTTTATAATTCTGGTCATTCTAATTTCAAGAATGAAGTTACTCAATCTCAGTAACAAGTTGTAATATCTTAGTGAGATAATTACTGGTAAGAAGAAATATCTTGTCAGACAAAAAACAAGCACTAGTTACATTGATTTAAGATCTTATGTCATCTTATTTACATTTCACTTTTTGCAGTATAGATGGAAAGATGGATCAGTTCATACAGGTACAAAGCCCGATCCCCCGCCTGCGGTCTTGTTCAGTCATGAATGCCTAATCAGTCACTGGCTCTGTCACAGGTAGAGGCGTTGCAACCTACACTTTGATAGGATAAGTTCAAACCGCTGTTACTCTTTTCACCATTACATAGAGTTTTAGAGTCCCCTGACGTCACATGACTAGTGATACAGTTGTCTCCTGTCCAGTTCATCACACAGGCTGGACAGCTGTATATCTCACTGCTCCAGTAAGAGTTAATGACACATCTGGTCTGATGGTTATTGTTGTCATCTACACCTGGTATTAATTCTTACTCTGCTGCATGTGACCTCCTTCAGCAGAGTTGTTGTATCCATTGTTTCTTTCCTGCGTTTCTCAAATCAGTTAGTATTGTGCAGTATTGCAGTATCGAAATAAATTTACTTTTACGGTTGCAAGTAACCATAGAAACACTTAATACCTAGTTTGCATTTTATAATCAGATTTTAATACAATACAGTAGATAAAAATGGAAATCAACTCTTGAGCTAGAAGAAAAGTGGATGAAAAAACAACCAAATAATGTCTTAAGTAAGGCTCTGTGTGCCAACATGCCAACGATTAAAGAATTACAGAGACAAATGGAGAGATTATCATTTTAATGGTCCTGGAGCGGTGCACATTTTGGGAACCGTCTCGCCCATTATTTGGCCCATCATTTTAGTCTTGGCTGGGGTTCGGGTCTCACACAGAGAGAACGCACTAACGATAAAGTATAACCAGCTATTATGGGATCATAATGCCCCCCTGCTTTATCATAATTTTTGAGAACGATGGTGTCTTAATGGACGGAGGAAGTATCAATTTGTTGGACAGCCCCCTGCAGTACTGAGATGGCCCTAGTTCTTATTTTGTGCTATAATGTTGTTCAGACAATGCAGTGGAAAAGGACAAAGTGAAGCAGGCAGCAGACTGCTGTAGGAAGATCCTCAATCACGTCAACCAGGCTGTGAAGGAATCTGAGAACAAGCAGGTATACTCTTTTTAAATCTACTTTCCATTTTATGTCCTTTCTTTTTTTTTTTTCTTGATCAGCCATGATTTCTTCTTTCCCTGCCTGCTTTGCTCCTCAGGCAGTGGCATCCTATTAAAGATCTGTTCTCTATCCACCATTCCTTTAGAGGTTGGAAGACTACCAGAGAAGATTGGACCTCTCCTCTCTAAAGCAGACAGACAACCCCATGATCCTAGAGCTAAGGGTGAGTTATCCACACCGGCCTTTGAGTTTCATTTAAAGCACACTCACTTGTTGTCCACCCACATACAGTATGGTGATTGAAATATCTGCTGTGTGGAAATGGTTCAGACAAGTACTCGCAAGCTCTCGTTTCAATTTACTTCCCTGTCCCCTAGAACCTCGATCTAACCAAGAAAACCATGGTGCATGAAGGACCTCTGTCATGGAAAGTGAACAAGGACAAGACTATTGGTTTGTAGTCGGCGCTTTACTGATTAGCAACTTGTGCAGTCAACCATGTGACTCCAGGTGACCACTGCTCATAACTGACAGTAAATACAAGCTTCCTCTCTGTCTTCTTTCAGAGTTGTACACACTCCTTCTGGAGGACATCCTGGTTCTGCTCCAGAAACAAGATGAGCGTTTGATCCTGAAGTGTCACAGCAAAAACCTGGCAGGCTTAGCAGATACTAAACATATCTTCAGCCCCATCATCAAACTCAACACTGTGCTGGTGCGCTCTGTGGCCACAGGTCAGTTAGCACCCAGGCTCTCGTACCACACACTTAACCATCACCTAATGAGTGTGTAATCAGGTCAAGGTATCTGGAAATCCATGTCCCCATGCATTGATGGAAGAATAATACTGATTAAAGTCGCATAAAATCTTCTGTCCACTCTCTCTCCTGCCAGACAACAAGTCCTTCTTTGTCCTTTCCATGTCTGACAATGGAGCCCAGATCTACGAGCTGATGGCACCCACAGTCTCAGATCAGAGAACGTGAGACCAATTATCTTTTGATTGATTAGTTTAATTGTTATTGCTCCTATTAAGCCGGCTAATAACTTTTTCTTTTTTTTGCACAAGGTGGCAACGACTAATCACCCAGAGAGCTGAAACCATGAAAGTTAAACCTCACAACATCATACCATTACCTCAGACCGAGTATGTTGCTTTAGCGTTATTCTGATTTAATGTGATGGTTCTCAGAGTTTGGGCTTGTTACTAACATAAGGTGGTGCTTGTGTGCCAGTGAGGAGAGAGATGGTGTGGAGATGATTACAGCAGGTGTTTCCAGACTGAGTAGAGAAGGAGACCGCACATCCACCGGCAGCATCCAGTCCACAGGTAAAACCGGAGCTGTTCATTTCTTCAGTTATACTTGGAAACATTTTTTCTCCCATGTCACATAAATATTCTATCCTTCTCGACTGTGTAATTATCTGTCTCTAATTATACATCCTCTGATAACTATAATTATACTTTCTCAGATAAAGAGAGCAGTCCGGCCTCTAGAAGTGCAATGCAGAGCTCTTTACCTGGTAATAATCCATTTGAAGGAGTTAAGACTGATGAAGAGGAGGAGGAGGAAGGTTTTGTGGACCCAGAGCTGCCTTACCAAGTGGCTGATGACAGCAGAGAAGGAAACGCGTTTAACACCTTTACTTCCAGAGCAGATGAAGCACTGAAAACATGTAAGCATGCGGAACAGATTATTCAGATGCATGTGCTACATATGCACTGAATCGCCAAGGGCAGAATCTTTAACACATTTTCTCTCCTCACCTGTCCTACAGTGGCAGCACTGAAGCAAGTGTTGGTGACCCAGCTGATGTCCCAGGAGGCTGCTGAGCAAAGCAAACGCTCCACAGGGGCCCGTCTCCTCAGGACCACGTCTCTGCGGACCCCTGTAGATAGCCGTGCACAGGTGATGGTCCACAACGGCTCGGAGAAGAACAGATCTCAGACCGAGGACCCAGCTCAGGACCTGGTCTCTGGGGACACGGGCTTCTTCGACTCTCCTGAAGATTATGGTGAGTCTGTGCAGGTGGAACAATTGATTTGTCATTACACATTGCTAGGGATGTAACAGTATTTGTAATTTCTCAGTATGGTCATGGGTGTGTGATGGTATCTACCAGGATATTGCATGTGGTTATTTCACTTGTATAACGTGTGTTCAGGTCGCAGAATTTAAAGCTGACCTAGTGGACTTTTAGAGCTATTGTGTAGCAGCCTGTGTCGCTGAAAGAAAACTGGCAAATGCAAAACTATTCGCAAATACTGCTGGATGAAGGTAATATTAGTCTCGTTTAGGTCTAAGACAGTCACGGATGCTTCTCACAGAAATAGCCAGGACATGACTGTGCTCAACATTTTAACGGAAACAAGCAAATATATTGGACGCACAAATGCAAAACCAACCACTTAGTAACCACCCTTCAAGTCCTTTCTCTTGAAAAGTAAACTGAGATGTTTGAAAAACGCCTCCACTAAAGCACAAACTTCACCTTTATGTGGCTTGTTCTGGAGTATTTGGCATCCTCTTCTCCTTGTTCTGGTGCGCCAAGCAGCAATTTGCTCAATACTGCCCCCGGTGGTCGGCAGGGATACCCACTTCATCTGTTCCAGTACTGACAACCACCAAAGAGACATAGTTTAAACCTGCTTGTGGGGCACTAAAACACTGATGTTCCACTGTAAGTGTGACTTGTTTTGTTACAAGATCCAGCTGCTGCAATAACATTTTATTTCCTAGAAGGACTACTACTGGCTGCTGCATTATATTTGTTTGTTTTGCAATTGTACAGACAGTTCCAGTGACTGTTCATGCCAGTTTTTTTTTTGCACATGCCGAGGTCCTGGTTGGCTACTTTGATTTTAATAAAGCAGGAAAGCAGGAGCCCTTTAAATTAAAAGGAAAATAATGCATAAATGCAGATTTATTATTTAGTAAATGGCATTTTTCATTTTTCTTAATATTGTGACAAATATTATATCACAGACTTTTAATCGTAGCGATACTGGACCGTGAGATCTTGGTACCGTTATATCCCTACTCATTGTACTTAAGGTTTAATTAGGTTGTACTTAGGGAAGAACATTTGGTAAAGTAGTCGGTCCGAGAGTCTGTTTGTACTCCTTCATGATTCTGATGTCTGCTCTGACAGCAGTAATATTAATGGCTTCTGTTTATTCTCTCAGCAGGATATTTAGTCCTGGAAGGTTACGGTGGCCCAGGGGAGAGCAGCACAGACGACGACATATTGACGTCAACCACAGGGAAGCAGCTGAGCACCTCACAAGGCTGCACTGCCGACTCTGGCATCAATTTGAGGTTTTCCTCCACGTCACAGGCCAGCAGCCTGTCCTCTTTCAGCAGACAGGTCCTGTCTCACCTTCGAAACCTTCAGGCCAACCTCAGCTATCTGAAGGTATCTGATATTTCTCCCTCTCAGCCCCTCAGCACACACGTATAACAGCAGTGCGATATGTGCACATAGTGATCATTTTTACTGCATGATCTGACAGCGAATTGGTTTTCCCTTTTAGGAGGTTGAGGCCAAGTACAATAATCTAATACGCCAAAGGCCCGAGAGGTCAGCAGCAGACACAGATGGAAATAAAGGTAGCTCACTCTGTGCTCAGTGTCAACACATGAATCACTAGATCTTAATATTTGAATCACATCCTGACTTTGTCTTTTTCCTGATCCTACACTTCCATTTTTTCCCTCCCCAGATAAGAGATAGTGGAAGTTCATGCCACAGCTTTTGGATCTACTCCCAAAGAGGAAGTACTGACTTGTAGTCTGTTCCTACTTCTTGTGTCCTGGACTTTCTGGACGTGCTATAAGCTTGTACTCTCACTGCTGAGCCCCCCACCCCCTTTTTTCCACGCCCTTCACCCACCGCTGCCACAGCGAACGAGAGACTGAGCGTGAGCAGAAACGTTTAAAGGGAGGAGTCATCTGTGTGATGCTGCACGCACCCCACCCCCAATCAGCACAAGGCAATCAGGGAAGTGGGATTGCCCCAAAACCTCACCCCTCAACCATCTAACATCCATTTTCCCCTGAACTCCCTGCAAGAACTTATACCAAAATGTATAAAGATGTGTGTTTAGAATATATATATATGAAACACAAAATAAAAAAGGAAAATTTTAAGATAATGTATTAAGTTTTTTTTTTTATCCCAAGATGTATTTATTTTCTTTCTTTTCATTTTTTAAAGAAATTGCTTGCATGCTTTTGGCCATGGTGTTACCTTGTTTTCTGCTCTTCCTGCTTCAGTTGCACAGGGTTAGTTAGAGTGTCGAGTGCACGCTAGCCTAGCGTCTCCTGATGAGAAATGGCAGGAATATAGACTGATAGAGGCTGGAGTTGCACTGGTGGTGGATAGTTACCATTGTGTTAAAAACTCTCGAATTGTGTCAAACTCTAGAATTTCGGATAAATTCTAGGTGTGGTGTTAACTAGAATGAAGAGTCCAAAGGCTCTGATCTGGTCCTGTTGCATTTCCATGCTGCCGTCTTCTTCCTCCTCCTCCTCCTCCTCACTGCGAGGGCTATTTTGCCTCTCATCTGCTCCTCTTTTCCTTTTGCGTGTGATTCTTCCATTTAGTTTCCCTGTGAACACTTCTGGGTGTCGTCCTTCTGCTTTTCTTCACAGCCCAGTGGCTTTCATGCTTATTTATCACCTCCTACACTCTGTATGTCATGCTTCCTCATCTGCCTTTGGATATCTTACTGCTGTTCCACCTCTTCTACAAGGAGTATCCGTGTTCCTTCTGTATCAGCTCCTGACAGAAATGCTGCTTCTTTCTGCTACTGTTGGTGTTGCTGATGTGACTGCCTGATAGTATAATAATGTCATGAAGTTCAACATATACTGTACAATGATCAAGTTGAAAAGTTATACATAACTTTAAATAAATAAAGGGTGCCATGACACATTCAGAAAGGAAAACCTTGCCTGTTTTTCTTTAAGCTGTTGGGCATGCTGGTATTTGGAATGTGACACCGCAACTATTTTAAGTTTCACGAAAGGATTTTAAATTACCACACTGTCAGGCTGCCATGTTGATGGTAAGTACAACACCAGCACTCGCTGAATGTCAGTTCAGCAATGAAGAAAAGACGGAAGTTAACAAAAATAGGGGCAGTTTCAAATTGAAGTAATTATATATTCTGACAAAGCTCATTCTGTGTGATGAGTACTTTTACTTGTGATATATTAAGTATATTTTTATAGTAATACTTGAATACTTTGCAGAGTATTTCTGCACTGTGGTGTTACTGCTTTTATTAAAAGCTCTGACTTCTTCAGGCCTCTGTTACAAGTTACCTTTAAGTCTTTAAGGTGGTTTCAGAAGTTGCTTTTCTTTGTCCTGGTGTGTCCTGATTTTTTACTCCTTTTTGTAAGAGACTATTGAACTTAACTAAACTGTAAAACTAACAATTGGAATTGAGTTAAACTGCAGTTTTGAGCACATGGCAACAGGAGGGTGGAATTCATTGCTGTTGAATCATAGGAGACTTGACTCCAGTTTCATAAAGGCTTTACAGTGTAAGTGAATGAACCACAGCAGCGATTTGATAATGTCTAGGAACACCGTGACAGACACACATGTGTGACTGCCTCTTGTAATGCAGCTGGCTGGGATTCACTGTTCATGGATACAGGACTTGAACCTTCGGCAGGCGAAAGACGAGTTCTGGCATGCGAGTAAGCAAAAGTGAAAGACACACAAAGCATGTTTCACCCCGAAGTACTGAACATGGGGTTGGAAAATTGGACATCAGACATTTTGGAGCATTTTAATTTGATCCTCTTAGTCAAATGTCAAAAAATTCTTTTTGACCTTAACAAAATGAAATGGTTTTTGTAGCCATTTGGCAGCACTAAATGTCAGAGGAGGAGAATGTCTTTAAAGGAGCCATCAGAGAAGTTTGATCAAGGGCGCTGAAGATGATGATGACTATTTCCAGCAGGTGGCAAACTTCCACCATTAATCATCAAATTTAGAAGACCCACCCTGAAACCTGCAGTGACATCAGTGTTTTCAGTAACTCAGGATACTTATTAATTTTGCAAACATATTTGAGTCTAGTGACAAATCAGCAGACAGAAAGGAAGAAATTTATCCAGTTTGTCACCTTATTATCAAGACAATCCCACAAGGGACAGCACAGCATTAAATGTGACTTTATGTAGGCTTACTGCTACCTGTAGTGGTGGAGTTACATCCATGTTACGCCGGGCAGTGGTTTTGCTTGGTGTGTATGAGCAGAAAGCAAGAGGAAGCCTCGCAGTCTGAATGGCATGTTCCCTCTTTTTCTCTCTCTGTCACCCTGCATGCTGCAGTGGAACAGAGAGAGAGAGAGAGAGGCTGTGTTGTGAGAACACAGACAAGGTATGAATGGGGAAATGGTAAACAGAGGCAGAAAAGACAATAAATCAGGAATAAGAGAAAGGATGAGGCGAGGGGCAGAGAGCGATAAAGACACAGGGAAGATGAAGAGAGGACACAGGGAGAAGGGGGGACGGTAATTGATTGTCTCGTTTCTCCACATGCACCTGTCACTGAGCTAATTGGAGTGGCGAAGACAAAGGGGAGAGAGGTGTCAGTCACACTGGAGCCTTTCATGAGGGCAGTTCATGTCAAGCTCTGATGAGTCAAGCCTTTCTCTTCCTCCCCCTCAACTATGCAACACCGCTCGAGTCAAGCAAGAGAATGAAGCTTTATCCTTGTAGAGGATTTCGAAATTGGACCTGTGTACAACCAGAAGCAAAGACCTGTATTGTTGTGTTCTTATGTTCACCCCCCAGGCCTTTTAAGTGTCCTTAAAATATGGTATAAGATCAGAACAGAAAAATACTCACCCACATGTTACTTATGCAAATCAGATACTGATTTGCATACATTTTTTCTGATACATATTTGAGGCTGAAAATCGAGTTGAGGATTTGATGTGTTTACCTGATTTTGTGTACCACAAAGAACCGTTGCAGATGATTATGGTGGAACACATCACTATACTTGTTGCCCTGGGGCTTAATTCCAAGATAAAGATGCTTGGCTAAATAAGTCACCTGTGACAGGAACACAGAAAGGTTTCTGCAGAATATCTCTTTTTTTTCCACACGCATCTCCCCAAACAGCTTTGCAATCATCAGACTCCAGACTCCACATCCTATATATTTGCACAGCAGCTCATCTGTCTGCAGCCACCTTTCATCCTGCATCGCCGTATAGAAATGAATCAAACTCAATCGTTGCTGCATGACTGGTTGCTACAGCTGGTGTTGTCACATAGATGAGTATCTGGTGTCATTACCCGTGATAAAACTTGAATTGTCACTCAGGATGGGCCTCATTCACGACTTTATAAGCTTCATTTTACAGATTTGTTGGCTCTGCATTAGTATTCGTGTGTGTGTGTGTGTGTGTGTGTGTGTGTGTGTTTGCAGCAGGATGCACACACACACAGGCACCCAGAACTGCTGTTCTTACTGGTGTGCATTCAATCACAAGTGCGATCAGCAAGACTGTGCGAGGTCAAACTTGAGATCAGTCAACATAATAATTGGTTACATTTCTTCTGTGTAGCTTTTTTAGCAGGGTCCCAGCAGGGTTGTTTTCCTATGCAATAAATCACTGTCTAGTTGAGGAAATAAAATAAAAGAGAAAGTAAAGTTGAGTGCTCCTAAAAAGTTCAAGCTGGATTAACATGAATCAGCTATTCATATAGATATTTGTGACTGTGGCTAGTCACTCGGGGGAGGAAGGGGAAAGAAGAAGTATCTGTAACTGCTTGTCAAACTAGAATCATTTGTTTTTCTCTTCCTTCTGTTGCCTTTCTAACATTTTATTATTTACTGTAAATATTCAAATTTAAGACATTTATTTATATGTGCCAGAGATTTTAATCAAAACCATGTTTTTTGTTTTGTTTTTGTTTTTGTAAATGACGTTGCCACAATCCTATTTATAATCAAGTCGTAGCTACTGTCAAACGCATGTCTTTATTCAATCAAGGACATTTGGCGTATCCTTGTAACACAGTCACCTCAATTATAACCTGCTTCTGAAACAGGAACCCTTGACGTTATGGGATTGATTTTCATGCTGCACTTCTCCCCCCTCCATTGAGCAGAAGCCAATATCAGATGGATTGGACTGAAAATCCATGTGCTGTCCACAGTCTGATTAATCCATAACCTCTCTGGAGTAATCACTGTCCTAAACACAGTGAGGAGCCAGGTGAGATGTGGAGAGAGGAAGTGTTTAGTTGATGCTGAAAGATGAATGAACTGACTCCTTCAAATGGAAAGATTATGCAAAAGAATGTGCAGCTGAAACAGCATAGTCACCTATGCCAAAGAAACAAAAAGAGACACCTGAACCTGTTCAGGGGCTGTTCCTCTGGGACACTTTATAATGAACCTATTCAGTAAAAAATAGGCACCTGTGGCTTGGCTTGGCATTAACCCTGTCTAATTACCACACTGCGCTTTGATGGAGTGTGTGGGTGAAAAAGCTTCAGGCAGGCCAGCTGGCATAGGGCTCCCTGGTTCAGTCTGCTGTGAAAGAGAAACCAGAGAGAGCGCGGCTCAAGCGTTGAGCTGCTGAGCTGTGACCTGGGACCACGCCCGCTTAACGTACCTCAGAGCTGCAGCAGAAATTGATGGTACTGTTGGCAGGCGTGCATCTGCTGATTTTGGTGTAGCAGTGCTGGCGGGGTACACAGCTGCTGGTTTCTGGGCTGCCAGGTTGGTTGGGCAGAAAGTGGGTGTCCGCTGTCGTGTTCAATGCCATGCACAAACAGGGGGATAAAGGGGGAAAATGACAACTAGGAATGACAACAAAGAGAGATGC